GTGTTCCATTCCCTTTAAAACCTTCAGGATGAGAAGAGAGGATTTCGCAGGAGGCAGGAAGTTTCACACCAGGTGATGTAGATGAGCCTAGCATGTGACAGAGGGCACAAGAGAGCCAAGCACTGGTTAGATCATAGCTTAGTTGCTAGCTACCACACAGCTTCTCTCCCTGGGAAAGAGCCACCGAGGGGCCTTTGGCTATGGTTGTGCATGATCCTTGTCTTAAAAGGGAGGGTTTGTGTACCAGTCCTTACGTTGTATAAGTGGGTAAGTATAAGAAGTCTGTTACTTGAAGCAAGACTCCATAGCTAGTTCATCTCAGGCACATTGGGAAAATTACATATCTAAAGACAAATATCCCCCAGATACTTTCTTGCCTTGATTTCTGGAGTCCCCATTCCCATTCTTTCATTATCTTAAAATCTTCCTTATAGTGAGCCACTTCGTATATTTTAAAGAAAATGATATATAGTGCTGTATTTTTGCACACTCATCTAATCAGCATGAACATTTTAGATCAGCAGTCAAAACTTGAAAGCAGAAAGGTTGTTGCCTCATTTGCAAGGATTGTGTCATGGGTTCAAGAAAATATGGAGAAGTCGGGCAGTGGTTGCCTGCACCTGTAATCCCAGTGCTTGGGAGGCAGGGGCAGGTGCATCTCCGGAGTTTGAACCCAGCTTGGTCTACAAAGTGAGTTCTAGGATATCCTGAGCTGTTACACAGAGAAACCATGTCTTGAATAACAAAAACAAAGAAGAAAATATGGAGAAAGTCCAACAAAAATTATTTTTAGTAAGGAACAAAATGGTACTTTAGAGGGAACTACAGAAATGCAGGTGTTTTATTGATGTTTGCTTTGGGTTAAGAGACCAGTGAGTCCAAGCTTAATGCTTAGTTTCAATACAAAGAATTTGGGACACCTTGTGTCTCCCAGTAAGTGGAGAGATGGGTCTTTCATGAACATGGTTGCTGACCATGGTAACTGAGGGTGCCAAAAGGAAAAAGTTATGTACTCATCTGTAGGTGCTTCAATGGGAGGAGGCGGAGCTACAGAATCCACAGTATTGGACTTAAATTTGCTATGTGGAACTGAAGAGATGCTTCAGTGGGCTAAGAGCACTTAACTGCTCTTGAAGAGGACCCAAGTTTGGTTCCAAGAGCGGTACAGCCAACCACCTGTCACCCCAGTTATGCAGGCTCGCATGCCCTCATCTGGCCACCAAAGGTGCTACACATAATCTCAGGCATGCACATAAATAAATCTTTAACATTGAAGTGTTTGGTGGGTGATGCCTACTTTCATGTCACATTGTTTCAGCCTACACAGTTAACATATGTTCTTTATTCATACTCTATTTTAAGATATTTTCATGGAAAATTGTATACGAACACAAAAGTTTTATTTTGAAAACCTGGTTAACAAAATTACCCAAGTGGGAACTGCCAAAAATGCTACAAAGATTCAAGAGTTGCACAGGGATCTCCAAACAGCTACTTCCATTTTGTCATGGAGCTCTCTAGAGGCAGATGAGAGATCCCAGTCAGACGAGGCTCTGTAAGCCCTGGACCATGCTTGACACTCAAACGCTCAGCACCCCTGTGACACCGTTGCAATTCCCTGCTCATAGCAAACACTCAGAACACTTATTTAAGCGGGGCCATTAGTAAGAAATTTAAATGGTAAAGAGAGTACATTATAAGCTAGGTTTTAAAAAAAATGAACTGAGTGGTGGTGTCAAACGCCTTTAATCTCAGTACTCAGGAGGCAGAGGCAGGCAGATCTACTGTAACCCAAATTCTCTTTGGTCTTAATAGTAAAACCCTGGAGTCAGTCAGACGGTGGTGGCCTTGCATTTGATCCCAGCACTCAAGGCAGAGGTGGGCAGATATCTGTGAGTTCCAGGGCTGTTACACAGAAAGGGCTGTAGAGAGATGGTCCAGCATTTAAGAGCACTGACCTGGGTTCAATTCCCAGCACTCACATGGCAGCTCATAACTGCCTCTGACTCCAGTTTGAGATAATCTGACACCTTCACACTTACACATGAGAGCAAAGCACATGAAATAAAAATAGCTTTAAAAAAAAAAAAAAGCCAGAATCAGATATTAGAGAAAAGCTGGAAGATCAGAGAAGCAGCCATCCAGCTCTTACCTCTCAGACCAAATGGACCATCGTGTCTCCATGAATTCTCAGACTGACTGCCTAGACTGCCAGGAGCTCCTGTCTCCTCCCACCTTATATTCCTCTCTCTACCCAGTCATTATGCCTTCCTGTCTCCATCTCTCTAGTGCTAGAATTAAAGGCCTGTCACTCCAAGTGCAGGGATCACCCTTGTGTGACCTTTGTTTCTCTTGTAGACTGGATCAATTTCATGTAGCCCAGGTAGCCTTCAGTTAACAGATCTGTCTGCCCCTGTCTCCCAAGTGCTGGGATTAAAGGTGTGTGCCACCACTACCTGGCCTCTAGCTAATTTGTGTAGCTAGCTTTGTACTCTGATCTTCAGGTAAGCTTTATTTGTTAGATCACAAACAAAATATCACCACAGTCTATAGAGTGAGTTCAGGGACAGCCAGGGATACACAGAGAAACTGTCTGAAAAACAAAACAAGCCCCCCCCCCAAAAAAAACAAGTTGGAATGTTTCAGACATGTTCAAGGAAACAATAAAGTTTAGTCTGACAAAAGATTGTGATCATGGATGTGTTTTTTTGTTTTGTTTTTTAAGTACAATGGGGACAAACTGGTTCTATTTCAGACAATGCAAGAAATGAACAGGTTAGCTGGGTGGTGGTGGCTCACACCTTTAATCCCAGCACTCAGGAGGCAGAGGCAGGCAGATCTCTGTGAGTTCGAGGCCAGGCTGATCTACAGAGCGAGTTCCAGGACAGGCTCCAAAACAATACAGAGAAACTGTCTTGAAAAATCAAAAGAAAAAAAAAGAAATGAACAGGTTACAGGCAATCTTGTAATTTTCCATAAAGTGAATAGTAAAGGCATAGTTCAGAGATTGGAGAACAGGATGGATAAGAAGAGGGAAAGGTGGTGTGTGTGTGTGTGTGTGTGTGTGTGTGTGTGTGTGCGCGCGCGCGCGCGCGCGCGCGCCAGGTGCCCACAGAGTCCAGCAGAGGGTGCTGGATTCCCTGGAACTGGAATTAAAGAGAGTTGTGAACTGCCATGTCAGAACTGGGAATTGAACCTGGATCCCCTGAAAGAGCAGTCAAATCCAGGTTTCAGATATGAGAGAGACAAGAAGGAAACAAAGAATGCTTTCTCAGAACATGTTCACCATATGAGGTTTGTCCCAGGATGACACAGTAGGTTTCACCCCACATTCATGTTTCCTTCAACATATTTATGCTGCTGGTTAAAAAAAATAAAAGTGCTGAGTTGAAATCAGAATTTAGAATACCTCACTCACGGTATACACAAAAATAGTTTAAGAAGTAAAAAGAATGTAGGAGTGGGCACATTCACCAAGGCCTCACTGGTTGTAACCTTTTAAACAAAATATTGGCATAAATACTTACTCAATACCTTTTTTTTTTTGACAAGTTGACCTTAATACGAAAATAAAATATAAATTTAGTAGGAACACTCAGACAAGGTGGCACAGAGGTGAAGTTAGTTGAGAGTTATTCTCTGCTGCATATGGATCGAATGGAGGCCGGCCTTGACTACACAACCCCCCCCAACACACACACACACACACACACACACACACAGTGTGACGTGTGTACTTCTCTATACCCCTCACGGAAAGGGCTCATTGTGTTCTAGTTATTTCTCGTCTGCCCACAACTGTTTTACAGCATACTGCTAGCAGTTCGTGTGCTGAATATTCAGTGCTCAGTGAACTACATTTTATGCTAATGGCTGGGGAATGAGTGATCATAAGAATCCCTAACACTTACGAAGAAAAGACACCAGAGAAGCATCTTCAGGGGAAGCCAGAGGAATGAAGCCTGGAGTGACCGCGGCCCTAAAGATTTCCTTGACACACTTAAGCACCCAAGGGCCGCGGATAAAAAAATATAAAGCCGGGCGGTGTTGGCGCACACCAATGAATCCCAGTACTCTGGAGGCAGAGGCAGAGTTCGAGGTCTGCCAGGACCTGCTCCAAAGTTCCACGGAGAAACACCCTCAAAAGCCTCCCTCCCCCGGGAAAACTTAGTTCTCAGAGTGACTTCTGGTGTGTTAAAGTGGAAGCTGCTGACCGAGAAACTAATTGCTGGGAAGTAGCGCAAACAGGCAAAGCTAGGATGCTCAGAAATGGTGTAAGACCATAAAAGCAGCGTCAGCCGTCTGATTGGTTTAAACGTGCTCCTTCCTTTCTGGACTATGCGGGTAATAAGACGTTAAAGACTAACAGCACGGAAACGGATTCTTCACGAGAGGGATGGGGCTGGCAAGGCCTCTCAAGGCACGGGAAGAAAAGGAGGAGGATTCAGTTGGGAGCAGGAGAACACGACCCTCTCCTCACTAAAAGCCGCGTGATTCACAGCCTTTGCGCCAGCCTAGGCGGCCTCCTCCTCCTCCTCCCCCTTTTCCACTCTTGTGCACACCCGGTCCTGGGCAGAGAGGCGGGGGTGGGGGAGGCGGCGGGCAGCCCCGGGCCTGCAGGGCGGCACCGTGTCCTCGTCCCGTCCGGGCCACCTCAACGGTTCCACACGGACGCGTTCGCGGGAAGGCGCGATCCCCCCCGGGGAGGTCCGTGGAGCTGGAGCGGAATAACGGCAGAAGACCGGGCGTCAGCGCGGGGGCGGAGCTCCAGCGCCGGCCCCGCCCCCCGGCGCTTCCCGCGCTCTGATTGGCTCGGGCGGGCAGCCGGCGGCTGGAAAGCGGGTGTTGCCTCCTGCGAGCGACCGGCGCGCAACCGCCTGAGGCAGCTGGCTGAAGCGGAGGCTGCGGGCCGCTCGCCCCTCGCCGGGCTGCGCAGGTACCTTGGCCCTCACCGGGCTGGCGGGCCTGGTGACACGTCCCGAGGGTCGGCCGCGCCTGTGCCCTCCGCACGCTCCCGCAGTCCTGCGTGAGGAGGCGAAGGCGCCTCAGCGCCTCCGCCCTCAGCGCCGCACCCCCGCGGTCTCGCGGCCTCGAGCGCCCCGCCAGCCCCAAGGGCCGCGACGCGGGTGGGCATCGCGAAGGCGGGGACAGGAGCTGGCGGCGCGGGGCGGGCGAGAGGAGGGAACCCCGGCGGGCTGCGGGAAGGGAGCCGCTGGAGGGGCCCGGCCTCCCGGCCGCTTTGTCCCGGGTCCCACGCCCCCACCCTGAGTCGCACCGGAGCATTAAATTCTGAACTGCCGTGTCTCATCGGACACCCTTAGCCCGTTTCTCCAAAAGTACCAAAAGTTCTCCCGTCTACCTGCCCCAGTCACCAGGGATTGGCTGTTCGATTTTCATTCAGAAAAACTATTTCTACTTCATTCTGTCGCCAGATGCCCTCTTTTCTACACCCAGAGAGAAATTGCTTCAGATACCTACAAAATTCAGGTGTATTTTAAAAAACAAACAAAACCCCAAACCTCACAAGCCCAGACATCGTCTTTATGAATGTTGCTATTATTTTTCCCGAATGATGGGTTGAATGCATGCAGGTGAATTGCAGAACTTTCCCTTGAGTGGTGCAAACCAATATCTATTTACCCCAGATAGGGAATGACACAAAATTAGGGGTTCCGCCCAAGTCCAGCGTGGTGAACCAGTGTTTATTGGGGTTACTTACAGAAGCATGGATGAATGAATACAGGCAGCACTCCTGAAGAGCCGGGTCACCCGAGCATGGATGACGGCTGAGAGCCTGGGTTATCTCAAGAGCAGTTCTTGTTAGCCCTTAATTGTTGAGCCATCTCTCCAGTCCCCTCTGCCTAGTTCTTTATAATCTAACCCTACACTGGTTAATACTGTAGCCACTAGCCACATGTGACCATAAACACTTGAATTTGGCTGGGTGCAACAGAAAACTTTTTTTACTTAGTTAATTTAAATATAAAACGGAAGAAGTGTAAAATATTATCTGATACACTACTTCATTTTTACAGGAATACATCTTGAACTATTTAGTAACTAGCATAAAACTGAGATATGTATAAAGTATCAAAATGTACCAGACTTGTCCGGTGGTGGTGGCGCACGCCTTTAATCCCAGCACTCAGGAGGCAGAGGCAGGCGGATCTCTGTGAGTTCGAGGCCGGGCTGGTCCGACAGCCTCCAAAACAACACAGAGAAACCCTGTCTTGTAAACCCTCCCCCAAAAAATGTACCAGACTTAAAAGATTTAGGATGTAAACTATTTTTTATTTTTATATTGATTAGATGTTAAAATATCATGTTTGATCTTTTGCATTGAATTTATTAAAATTAACTTTGTTTTCGGCACTGAGGATAGAGCTCTTGTGCATGCTAGGCAAGTAGTCTCCCCTCCTACTGAGCTATAGCCCAGCCCTCATGTTTTCTGTTTAAATATGGCTTAAAAACAGAAAACTATGTATGTAACTGTCAGGTTGGACAGTATTGGTAGTACCCAGCTACTCTGAGTGTAGCCTTACCTTCAGCATGGAAGTTTCTGAGAGGAGGGTGGAGAATCTGCACACAACTCGTTGAGTGCTAAGGGTCCTATGGCTGCTCGGGTCCCTATGAGTCATGGATTCAGAAGTTCTCAATAGGATCCTGCAGTTTGTCCAGCCTGGTCCACTTGGTGATTTCCAGCCCCCCCCCAGAACTACATAGTGAGACCCCTGTCTCAACAAAGTGAGATCCTTCAAAGCAAATGTGTCATTTATTTGTGTGAAATAATTGGTACATATTTTCACATAAAAGTAAATATATGTGAAAATCCTACACTGCATGTGTCATTTATTTTCTGAAACTGTTCAGAAAATACTAACAATGACTTATTGACTATGGAAACTTTGTGAACAAGGAAAACTTACCAGGAAAAAGGAACACCACAAAAGAGAAAGTAAACATTTCAGATTTGATTTTGAGTTCCAGAATAACCAAGGCAAAATGGAACAAGAGAGAGTATACTATTACCCAGAGGGGACATAGCATTTCTGAGCACTGTAAGAACAATTTCTAATACAACTCAGTGTTACAAATAACATTTTCATAGCAAGATCAACTTTTTATATGACTGCATCTGGTAGTATCCAGGTAGTTTTTATATAGAAATGGATGAATGTTATCAATAATTTTGTACTTTTATTTTTATAGGACTCTTGGGAAGCCAAAATGCGACATAATCAGATGTGTTGTGAGACACCACCTACTGTCACTGTTCATGTAAAATCAGGTTCAAATAGATCACATCAAACTAGAAAACCTATTAATCTGAAGCGTCCTATTCTTAAAGATAGTTGGCAAGCATCTGAAAAAAATGCACATAATAACAAATCTAAGCGGCCCAAAGGACCCTGTCTAATTATACAGCGTCAGGAAATGACTGCTTTCTTTAAATTATTTGGTAGGTGTAAGACATTTTAATAGTATAAAGTACTTAAGAATCAGAATGTAAATCTCTTTTGTCAGTGTTTTTACAATGTACTATTTATACCAGCCAAGAAAAGGAGCGTGCTTTTGCAGTCATAGTATAGGTGTTTCCTGATACCACAGTCTAATAGTTGTGGGTAACAGACCTTGTTTATAGAGGAAGGCTATGTTCATGCAAGCAGACTTGGTAAGATCATCAAACTAGAAGATGATATTCTTCACTGGTCATGAGATAACACCTGATTCTACCATTTTAGGTAACTTATGAAATAGAAACAGAAATAGAAATTCAAGTTATTCTTAGAATTTTCCAAATATCAATTCCATTCATGAAATTCATAACATACAAAATGAATAAAAAGAACTTTCTGTTTGTTACTAAAATGAAGAGGATTTTCCTAGGTTATATTCTGATAATTTTCAACATGTTTTGAGATATCCGTTTAATGCTTTCAAATCAAAACAAGTTTTTTTATTTACTTTTTGGATGTTGTTTTTTGTTATATTTTATTTTGAGATAGGGTCTTACCATGTAACTCTGGCTGCTGTGGAGTGGAACAGCCCAGTCTTGAACTCACAGGGATCTGCCTGCCTCTGCTTCCCAAGTGCAGGGATTAAAAGCATGTGCCACCACTCTGGGGTGGATATTATTCTTCAAGATTTTGTTGATCTTTTTATCCTAATACTCAGTTTTCTCACAATTAAATGTTAATTATAAATCCAAGCAAAACTTGACGTTACTCATATATACATATTTATGTTTTATTTGAATATACATAAACTAGAAAGTAGGGGGAAAGGATTCAAAATGAAAAATACACAATTGAATAATACCAAAAATGAAAAAGGAGAAAGTAATAGAAAAAGTAATACACTTAGAACAGTAGTAAGATATTATTTCTTAGAAGATGAATTACCTTGCATCAGATTCCATTTCTGCCTCTTAAAATTGACTCAGCAAACTGGGCAGTCGTGGCGCACTCCTTTAATCCCAGCACTTGGGAGGCAGAGATAGGCGGATCTCTGTGAGTTTGAGGCCAGCTTGGTCTCCAGACTGAGTTTCAGGACAGACTCCAAAACTACAGAGAAACCCTGTCTCAAAAAAAAAAAAAAAAAAAGACTCAGCAAAAGAAGAAAGAGGAGTTCACCCAACAGGTCTTTGGATACTCAGAAAATGAAGCATATTATTCATCTTTAAAGTTGAATATATACATGATAAAGAAATTCAGATTGGAAATGGATAGCCCTTGCAATAATAAGTATACTAAAAAAACTTGACAACTAAACCTTAGCAACCATTTTGTTTATTCCTAAATATCACTTTAAAATGTCATAATATAGAAACTATGTCTTCAGAAGAAAACATTTTAAAGAAGATAAGTCATAGTTATCTTTTGTTATAGATGACGATTTAATTCAAGATTTCCTGTGGATGGACTGCTGCTGTAAAATTGCAGACAAGGTAAACTGGAAATAGTATAATCATAAACCATCATTGTTATGTTACTAGACCATTAAAATTTTATGATACCCAATAAGAATTTTCACCTTCATTTGGTTAGAAAAACAGCTAGCCTACATTTTTCCTTCAGAGAATTCTTTTGTCATATTTAATATTTGTGTTTGTGTGTGTGTGTGTGTCACAACATGTATACCATAGCCAGTATGGAGGTCAGAAGACAATTTACAGAGTTGTTTCTCTCTTCCACCATGACAGCATGTGCCTTTACCCACCAAGCCCTCTCATTGGCCCCCAAAGCAGAATTCTTACACTTAATTTTTACCAAATCTATTTGGAATAAAGAATAGAGACTCAATATTTTGGTGGCAGGAGTAGGAGGTGGGGGTGGAGGGCAAGGATGCATTCTTACTCCAGCACAGCCTGGCTTCAAACTCATAAATTCACAGTCCCCTTACCTCAGCCTCCTAAGAGCTAGGAGTATAGACATATATCACTATGGTCAGCTAGGTTCAATACATTTTGGGTGGAATTACTACCCTTAGTTGGTATGGAGAAAAAGTTCTTGAGATTCATTCCATTAAAGTGGTCGCCTATAAGTTTCAATATTTTATAAGTAATTCAGACCAAAAATTCCAATTATCTTTTTAATCAATTTTATTACTGTAACTCAACAGGCATTAAATTACTATATATAATGTAATTTCTAATAGCATTAATAACCTCTTATTCCATGTTGGCTTCCTCACTGATGGATAACAACCATAGATGGACACTAGACAAATGAAAATCGAGGATTATTCTACAGAATAAATGGCTTGTGGGTGGGGCTGGGAAAACGGCTTAACAGTTAAAAGTACTTGGTGTTCTTCCAGAGGATCCAGCCTTTGGAGACTGATCTAGAAAAACTAAAACACAGCACACACAGCTTAAAGACAAAGACCTTCTGTGTGACTCTTAAAAGTACAGTCATCAGCCGGGCGGTGGTGGTGCACACCTTTAATCCCAGCACTCGGGAGGCAGAGGCAGGCGGATCTCTGTGAGTTTGAGGCCAGGCTGGACTGACAGCCTCCAAAACAATACAGAGAAACCCTGTCTCGTAAAACCAAAAAAAAAAAAAAAAGTACAGTCATCATCAACGGGACCATTATTGTTTCTTCTAACCCTTCTTCCCAGGGATGAAAAGTATTTTGAGGTAAATCTGAGGCATGCTAACATTTTATCACAAACATTTGATAATATGAGGCTGGCAGGATACATACATACTTGCTGCTAAAGGTGCCTGATGCTAAGCCTCATGATTGAGTTGGTCCCCAGGTTCACAAGGTGGAAGAGAGAATGGAATGGACTTTCATAATTTGTTCTCTGATCCCCACACCTGGGTAGTGGCCCAAAACACATGACACACACATACACATATATAAAAATAAGTACAAAATAGAATGTCTCCAAAAGTGAAATCTTGAAAACAGTTTTCAAATAAACAGTAATCAAAGGCCCAAATGCTGTTTTTTTTAGAGTTGTGGTCAACAGTACAGTTGAAGTGCCCTAATGCTAATGGACAGCAGGGGGCAGTGTTTGAAAAGTAACTAAGACTACTTAACATTATTTTGACGAAAATCCTTTACTTGGAAAGGAAAGGAACACTTGGAATCGTCTTCTTGTACAGTGCTTTTACTAGATAATGAATAAGTACAAGAGAAGATTCATATTTTAGCTTGTTTCAAATTTGAACCATTAGATCTTGGCACACGTTCTAATAGGAAAATTGTGTCTTTGTAATAATGCATTTAAAATGTGCTTTCTCAGTGAAAACTAAGCCTTGCTATTCTGATTTCTGGAGTTATTTAGAAGTCATTCTTAAATATTATTTTTTCAAAAACTTGATGAATCTAGGTGAAAGATGTTGTATTACTCATTGAACTATTTCAACTTCTCTATAAGTTTTAAATTTAAGTTAGAAAAAAATGAAGTTTTAATTTTAGAATGCATCAGCTATAATAATATTTAGAAATCCACCTAACTAAATATAATAAATGATCAGTAACTCTCACGCTATCCAAGTGAATTAATTACAGGAGACAAAAAATAAGTACTCAAATGACTGTATAAAGATTAATAATGCTTTAAAGTTTAAAGTCAACTATTTTATGGCACTTTTATTACTGAAAGCAAACAATTAATATTAATTTCTAACTTTTCCTTATAGTATCTTTTGGCTATGACCTTTGTTTATTTCAAGAGAGCTAAATTTACTATAAATGAGCATACCAGGATAAATTTCTTTATTGCTCTGTAAGTATACTTTCTACTAAATGAATTTTTTGGGTATTTACAACATATGTAATTTGTAATTTAAAGCAGAAACATTAAGATTTTATGGATATTGTTAATTGGCCATCTTGTGTATGAAAATTACATATATTTTAATTTAATAAGATAGTTTTATGTTCTTTTCCCTGGTCTTACATTATATACCAGAGATTTATCATTCAGTATCCCACTTCAGGTTGTATTTTACATTTTTCACAGTACTCTCCTATAAATTTCCCCAATTCTCTTTCTCTTCCTCCCTCACCCCCACTGGTTTGTTGCTGTTGTTGTTCTGTGGATTTTGGTTTGTTTGGTTGGTTTTGGTTTTTTGAGACAGAGTTTCTTTGTGTAACAGCCTGGAACTTGCTTTGTAGACCAGGCTGGCCTCAAACTCACAGAGATATACCAGCCTCTGCCTCCCAAAGGCTGAGATTAAAGGGTTTCACTACTACCGCCCATCTCAAACACTGGTTTTTTTGAGACAGGATCTCTTTTGTAGGGAGAGATCTTACTAGGCATCTGTGGTACTGACCACACCTGTTTGGGCATGACCACTGGTGGGTACATGGGGTAGGATATAAACCTGAGGAGAGGCTGGCCACGCTCTCTCGGGGTTCTGGTCGGGTCTTGAAGAGCACTGACCCTGGGACATCTGTTTCTCCTGTAAGTGATTTTCTCTTCAATAAAATTAACTTACTTCATCCCAGTTCCGAGTACCTTAATTTGTACTGCTACATTTACACTCTTTATGTAGCCCTGGCTGTCATGGAACTCACTATATGTAGTCCAGGCTGGCTTTGAAATCACTGAGATCTAGCTGCCTCTGCCTCCTGCGTGCTGGGATTAAAGATGTGTGCCACCACACCCAACTATTTATATTTTTTAAAAGACAGAATATTATCTTTTAAACTGTTTTGAATATATTCTTTTTCTTTCTTTCTTTCTTTCTTTTTTTTTTTTTTTTGGTTTTGAGTTTTTGAGACAGGGTTTCTTTGTACAACGGCCCTTGCTGTCTGGAACTCACTCTGTAGACCAGGCTGGCCTTGAACTCACAGGGATCCACCTGCCTCTGTCGCCCAAGTGCTGGTAAAGGTGTGCACCACCACTACCAGGTTTGGATATGTTATTTGTAGGCCTGTATTTAAAAGGTAGGAACTATTCATGTTTAATACTTTTGTGTTCTCTGATGGCCTCATCAAACACTGAATATTGTTTATTCTCCAGATTTTCTGTTGATATCACATTAGTTAATGATAGCTTTGTTACCTGTTGTTTTAATGATGTGGTTTTCCAATTTATAGGTAATAATTTAGTTTGGAAAAATATAAGACTCAGTGGTAAAATACTTGCCTGGTAGGCACAAAACCCTGGCATCAGTCCTCAGCACTGCTTTGCAGTAAGGGGGAAAGGTTAAATTTAAGAATACATTTTGGTTCCAGGACATCCAGGACTGTTACACAGAGAGAACCCTGTCTCAAAACAAACAAATAAAAAAGAATACATTTTGGAAGCTGTGTTTGAGGAAGCAGAGTGTTTCCCTGGTATACATGAAGCATTAGCAACCCTTTCCCCCTCCAAAGAAATACAAATAATACGTTTTTTTCTACCCTACAAGTGGATACAACAATGCAGCTAGAATGTATGTACATAATTTTAAGTGTTAAACTAGAACTGTATACAATACAGTGCAGTATTGGGGGCTGGAGAGATTCATTCAGTGGTTTAAGATAACTGCTCTTCTAGAGGACTAGGGTTTAGTTGCCAGCACAAACACCTGTAACTCCAGTTCCAGGGAATCTGATGCCCTCTTCTGGCCTCTGGGCAGTAGCCACACACATGGCTCACAGGCAGGCAAAACACTATTACACATTTTTAAAAAGAAGAAATTGGAGTATCACAATAGCTGTCAGCACTGAGGAATAAGTTTTTACTCAAAGTCTACTTAGAATTAGGGTTTTTAAAGAAATCCGATCAAGGGAGCCTTTACTATGCATTAATTAGACATTTTTCCAGAACATAGGAAAAATGAGCTGAATTTAACATTTGGTGATGATTGCTAACCTGGAAGAATTTAATAGTAATAGCTAATACTGAGTATTATGTGTCAATCGCCACATCTCATACATACATATGTATATACATACATACAAACATACATACATAAGTATATTCATACATAGTTTTCTTATGAAATGGTTTCTTTTTGTTGGTTTGTTTGTTTTTCTTTTTGCAGACAAGATTTCCCTGTGTATCCTAGAGCTCACTTTGTAGATCAGGCTGCCCTCTAATTCATAGAGATCTACCTGCCTCTGCCTCCTGAGTGCTGGAATTAAATGAAGTGCATTTCTTATTCCTGATTTACAGACATGGAAACAGAATTTAGAAATTAAAGCACTTTGCAAGATCACAGAAGTTGATCCACCATGGAGGGCCTCACCCTCCCTGGGGATTGGAGTGGAGATTGGGTGGGGGGACTGGAGAGCCTGGTGAGGAGGGCGGGGGAGGAGGGAGAGGGAGGGGAGCTGGGATTGACATGTGTAACAAGTTGTTTCTAACCTAAATTTTTAAAAAAGGAAGAGGAAAAAAAAAGAAAACTTTTTTAAAAATCACAGAAGTTAGTAAGGAGGCCAATGTGGTAGTTCACACCTATACTCCCAACATTTAGGAAGCTAAGGCAGGAAGATTGTGAGTTTGAGGGCAGCCTGGGCTAAAACAGAAAAAAAAGGAGCAGAGTTGCTGAGGTGCAAATTCGTGTATGACATTTCCAAGAGCCAGATTCAGCCTTCATACTACTAAATGTCATTTACATGTTTCAGTATCATATTTTCATTCAATATACATATTCTGTAATTTTCTTCACTTGACAGTTAAACCAAAAAGGGCTTTAGTGCCAATCCAGGTAGAAGCCTGAAACTGAATTTGTTTCGTTTTGTGGCTATAGCCACTAAAGTACTATTTAGTTTCTACTGGGTAGTAATCTTTAAGACTGCACTGCAGATTGTATTATATATGTTTTTTGAGACAGGGTTTCTCTGTATTGTTTTGGAGGTTGTCCTGGAACTCTCTCTGTAGACCAGACTGGCTTCAAACTCACAGAGATCTGCCTGCCTCTGCCTCCGGAGTGCTGGGATTAAAGGCGTGTGCCAGCAACACCTGACTTTAGCTATTTTAAAGCTCCTATTTTCTATGTAGTCATGTAATGTTTCCTTACAATATTCTCACAACACCCTGAATTTAATTTTCTTTTCTTATTTTTTAAAATCTTCAGAAACAAGGCATTTGTAGTCTAGACTGGCCCCAAACTCCCTATGTGATCTTGAACTGATCCTCCTCCCTGCCTTTACCTTTCAAATGCTGAGATTACAGGTTCTGGGAACTGAAGCCAGGTCCTCTGGAAGAGCCTCTCCAGGTCCTAAACTGTTGTCTTTATATTCTATCTATGATGATTTAGGATTTGCTTCTGCTCATGGTGTCTTGTTTTCTTGTGTGTTTTGTAATGTTTTGTTGTTAAAGTCACTTATGGAGTCTGCATTGTTTCTGATTGGAAATCTGCCCCATCCTTAACTTTATTCCTGTATTAATTTCTTTCCTCCTCCGCCTCCTCCTCCTCCTCCTCCTCCTTCTTCTCTGTCTCTCTGTGTGTGTCTCTCTCTCTTCTTTCTTCCTCCCCCACTCTCTCTGTGTCTCTCTTTTTTGGAACAGGGTCTCATGTAGTCCAGGCTGGACTCAAAGTTACTATGTAGCTGAGGATAGCTTTGAATTTCTGATTCTTCTGTCTCAACCTTTCAAGTACTAGGATTACAGATATGTGCCAACACACTACACTAGCTTTTTAAGATTTTATCATTGCTGTTGAACAATTTGGTTAAGATGTACCAGGGTATAATTTTCTTGTGAATTCTTGTTTCTTATTCACTTAACTTCTTTGTAGATTTGTAGGTTTTTTGTTTGTTTGGGGGGTTTTGTTTGTTTTGTTTTGATTTGGAGGTTTTGGTGGTGGTGGTGGTTTGCGTGGGGTGGCTGCTGTTTTTTTCTTTTTCAAGATAGGTTTTGTGTGTGTGTGTGTGTGTGTGTGTGTGTGTGTGTGTGTGTGTGTGTGTGTGTGTGTGTAGCCCTAGCTGTCCTGGGATTTGCTTTGTAGACTAGTCTGGCCTTGCACTTACAGATCTCTGCCTGTCTCTGCCTTCTAAGTGCTGGGATTAAAGGCATGTTATCATCATCTGGCTGTAGATTTATAGGCTTTGTCAAATTTTTATAAAGGGCCTCCTGTAGTCCAGGTTGGACTCAAACTTTCTATGTAGTTAAGGATGTCCTTGAACTTCTAATCTTGACTCTACCTCCCAACAGCTGTTGTTATAGGTGTATGCCACATACTTATGCAGTGCTGGGACCAAGCTCAGGGCCCCCGGCATACTGTGTAAGCATGGTAACAGCTATATTACATCCCTTGTCCCTTTTTCTTCAAACTCTGGAAAAATTCATCTATTTCATCAATATTTTTTGGTTCCTGCCACTTTTCAGATTCCAAGTTTACTTTGAATTCACTTCCTGAAGTTATCACACATTTAATAAAGTTCTATTTCTGATTTTTAATTTTTGTCTTTATATTTGGGTAGATTCTATTACTGTGCTTTCAATTGACAGATGTCTTCTCCAGTATTCAATCTTCCATTAATCTAGTTCAGTGTTTTTCATCCTACACATTGTAGTTTTCATCTCTGGAAGCATAGTTTCAATGTATCTCCTTGTATCTACTTTTTGAGCATATAGAATGGTTATAGCTGTTTTGATGTTTTTGCATTTTTTGTTTGTTTTTTGTTTTGTTTTTAGAGACAGGGTTTCTCCTTATAGCTTTGGAGCCTGTCCTGGAACTTGCTCTATAGACCAGGTTGACCTCACACTCACAGAGATCCACCTGCCTCTACCTCCTGAGTGCTAGGATTAAAGGCATGCACCACTACTGCCCAACTCATATATCAGTTTTGGGCTGGTTTTGATTGGTCAGTTATTCTTTTATCATGGTTTTGTTTTTTTTGCTTCGTTGTATGCCTGGTTTCCCTCCCCTCAGGTATTTGGCAAACAACTGACTTCTAAATGTGTCTGAAGGAGCTGTCTGAAGATAGACCAAAGAAAGACAGAAGGAGTGACTCACAGTCGTTCATTTAGAACAATAAGCACAGGTGTCCTCAGCCAGGCAAACAGCCACAGTCCCTGGAGTAGTGAGCAGACACTCTAAAAGTCTTGTCTTGGTTGGCTGATTAGCTCCACACCGAACACGCCACAGATTACGTAAGAAATCAGAAAAGCCTCAGGTAACTTACTGCATCCCAGAACAAAGGTCAGCATTTATAGGAGTACAGAAACACGGCATACCATTTCATTATGTATTTTAGATATGAATATCCTTTATGTGTTGATAAGTCATTTGTTTTGCTTTGTTTCTTTTGTTATCTGTTGTTCTTGTCCTTACCCATTTCTTTCTTGGGTTGTTGATCCTCTTTGATAGGTACCTGGCTAATACAGTTGAAGAAGATGAAGAAGAAGCCAAGTATGAAATTTTTCCATGGGCTTTAGGGAAAAACTGGAGAAAATTGTTTCCTAATTTCTTAAAGTTAAGGGACCAACTCTGGGACAGAATTGACTATAGGGCCATTGTGAGCAGGCGGTGCTGTGAAGAGGTAAGGATTTAAAAACACTTTTTACTTAGAATCTTTGTCTACCTAATTTTCCTTGGTTTATTTATTTAATTTTTTACTTCGTTTTGTTTTGCTCCCTTATTTGGAGATTCCCAAAAGTAGCCTGACTTAGAATTCACAGTCTTATTTTATGCTCTTCTGTTTTAGGATACAAGTATATCACGCCACTGTCATGCCCACTTTGCTTTTTAATGCTCTTTTTCTGTCTGTCTCTCTCTCTTTGTACATGTATAAAGATCATTAGCCTCAGTCACTATGTGAGTACAACTTGTATATTCTGTTTCTGTTTGAATTTTATCAGAATTATTAAAAATTGTACTTTCCATTTTTCAGAGCAGGCTACTTCTGTACTATGCTTATTGCAGGGTTTCCCTCCTGTCTGAAAGATCGCCAGTATGCTAATAAAGGGCTTGTGGACATACTAAAGCATCTTATTTAATATTAACAAACTAGGAAACTAGACTGAAGGAGAATTTCCACTAAAGCATATGAATTTTCAAGTTTCTAACATTGAGGCCAACAGCATAGTATATAATTTAAATACATGTAAGATCCATACCTCTTTTCACAAACAATACATTTCTCATTTAAAATTTTTTAATTTCATTTAAAACAGGGTCTTTCTCTATAGCCCTAGGTGTTCTAGAACTCTCTATGTAGACTAGGCTAGCTCACAGACATCACTCTGCCTTTGTCTCCCAGGAGATGAGACTAAAGGTATATATCACCGTGCTCAGCACATTGTTTTAATATTTTATTTTTGGGGTTTTTCTGGGTATTTCAAGACAGGATTTCTCTGTATTGCTTTGGAGCCTGTCCTGGAACTTGCTCAGTAGACCAGGCTGGCTTCAAACTCCACATTGTTTTCTCAGTGTTATATTTTATTAAGATAAATTGTTCTATTTATAAATAAGGTATTTTGTTGATTTGATTTTGGTTTTGTTGAGACAGAGTTTCTCTGTGTAACAGTGCTAACTGTCCTGGAACTCAATTTGTAGTTCTGGGATTAAAGGCATACACCACCACTGCCCAGCCATGGTACATATATGCAAGGATTTAAAAATAACGGAAGATAGAAAGTAACATAAAGATTATATAGCTAGCTAAGACTCTACAAAGTTAAATTCAATGAGAAAGATTGCATACAGGAGGCCTCTAAAATGAGTTGAACACTGTAATTTTTCCAAGTATATACTACTCTGCTTCTATCTGTTCTCTTCCATTCGCTTTGAAACTGTTCTATAAAGCCTTTCCTCTATTGTTCAATAGAACTTTATCAAAGCCTCATGATAACTTTATGTTGCCAAAAGCACAGTTCAGGTTTTAGTCCTCAATTTAGCTGTAGTATTTGTCACATTTACTTTTCTGGTAACACTATCTTCATGTGGTTTTCTGAATATCAAAGTTGATAGTTTTTCCTCTTTTTTTTTTTTTTTTTGTTTGGTTTTGGTTTTTTGAGACAGGGTTTCTCTGTATTGCTTTGGAGTCTGGCCTGGAACTCGCTCTGAAGACCAGGTTTTTTTCAGTTTCCTTTCATCTCATCAGCGTATTAAGGTGCCCCAGAGCTCAGACCTGGGACCTGTTAGTAAATTATCTTGTTCATTCTTAAGACACTAACTTAGAGGGACTAGAGAGATGGCTAAGCAGTTAGAACCACTTCCTAGTCATCCAGAAAACCAGAGTTCACTTCCTGGCACCCACACCTGGCAGCTCACGACCACCTGCAACTCCTAACTCCTAGGGATCTGGCACACTCTTCTGGTGCTTCTAAGTATGGGCATGTGCAGATTCACATAAAAAATAAAATATTTCCTAAAAGACTTTAACATAAAGATCTAAAGGTTATATATGTAATGACTTCCCACTATTCTATTTTCTCTATGGATTCTAGCTGCCATATAAACTCAGTGGTAATTTAGAAAGTTCATCTGCATCTTAGCTTGGGAATTAAGAAGCATAATTATTCTTTCCATGTCTCAGATTAAAAAATGGGGTTAAATTATGACTTGTCTTTCTGTTACTACTGTTAAAGAACATATGCTCCCCTTTTAGATAATATTGAGTTTTGTAATTTGTCTCTTTTCTCCCACCCCCCTTTCTTGTTCCTTCCTTTTTTTTTTTTGGGATAGGGTCTCTCTACATAGCCCTGGCCATCCTGGAACTTACTACATAGACCAGGCTGGCCTTGACCTCACAGAGATCTGCCTGCCTTTGCCTCCTGACTGCTGGGATTAAAAGTGTGCACCATCATACCAAGACCTTTTTTCTTTCTAAAACCACATTTGCAAAGCTATTATCTATAACCATATTAACTGAATTGCATTTTATAGCCCTGTCTGCTTTTTCTCACTCTAGTTCAATTTCACCTTTGGAACCAATCTAGTGGATTCTTTTTTGTTTTGTTTTTTAATTTTTAAGACTTATTTTATGCATATGGGTATTTTATCTGCATGTGCGTATGTGCACAACATGTGTGCCTGGTGCCCATACCAGAAGAGTGTAAAGGGAAGCCTTCCCATCAGCCTGTTCCAAAGCCGCATCAGTCCCAAATAACATACAGGAGACTATATTAATTATGAAGCTGTTGGCCTTGCTTGTTTCTTATTGGCTAGCTCTAACTTAAGTATTTATCCCATTATTGTTAATCTAAGTACTTCTCTTACCGGAGAATAGTTCCAAACTTCTTATCCCTATTGCGGCTACATCTTGACTCCCTGTGTTTCTCCTTCCCAGAGTACTCCTGGACTCCTAGTCCCACCTATCTTGCTTCCCTATTGACCAACAGTGCTTTATTGACATATACACAGGACTTCCCTCATCATCTCCTCTTTTCTGTCTAAACAAAAAGAAAGGTCAATTTATATATAACAGAACAGCTATCATGCAAGAACACACTTACAACATTTTGTCTACCAACATTTAGCAAGATTTAAAGAAAATATCATCTATCCCATCCTTGTGAGTCCAAAGTCCTATATGTAGCTTATCTTTTATCATAACTAAGGAAAACTATAATTATAACTATTTGCCTTCAACTCTATCAAAGACCACAGAAGGATAATATATAAACACTAGGATTGACAGACACATCTTACTGCCTGGGCAGTCACCAACAGCTTTATAATTAATACAGCGTCTTGTATGTTATTTGGGAACTACAACACGGCAGAGCCCAGGAGACTGGTGGGGGATAAACCAAAACGTCAGACAAGGAAAAGCCTTCTCTTTACATAATGGTGTCAGAAGTGGGATCATGAATTTCCACGTAGTATGACAAAAGCTTTAAAGGAATTTTAAAAACAAAAGAACGGAGAAAAGCGTGGTTTTTTGGTAGCAGCATTTTCTCAGGTGGGCTCTGTTTTGCTAGCGACAAGCAGAGTCATGCAGCTTGCTTAAGGGAGTCTTCCTGACTCAGCATTAAAAAAAAAAAAAACCAACAAGTTTCTTTTAAGAGGCTCTGCTAACAATTAAAAGGTGTGTATGTACAAATGGAAATGGTAGTGACCACATCTCTGAGCCGGCAGCTTTTGCTGGATGTCAGCACAGACTGAGACAGTGAGCTGGAATCACGCTTATGCCCGCCATCTTGGAAAAACTGCAGTTTAAACAGCCGCAGTTTTAACAGATAAGATACGTGGCCAGAAAAACATAAAGATTTACAATAAAGTCAGACTTGGATGAAGAAAAATCTCTAAATGTTTACAGTGTGTTTAAAAATATACGTAAGATTGAGAGAGAAAAAGAAACGGCATAGTGGTAAATAAATAGAGAAGCCAGCTGTGGTGGCACAAGCTGGTAGGATTTGCTGCACAGGCAGAGGCAGGTGGATTGCCAAAGAGAAACCCTGTCTCAGAGAAATAAATAAAGAAATAAAAGTAAAAGAAATAGAATAATAATAGATAAATAAATATGCCACGTAAAGATGGAAAATACACAGAGAGTCTGGATACTGTACGTTATTATGTTTTTCAGTTTTTTTGATTGCTCAGGAAGGAATAATATTAAAGTATACTTGATTATAAATGCTGCTGAATTAATTCAACTTATATCTTTTGAAAATGCCTTGACTTCAAAATTTAAGTATAAGGATATGTTACTTTGGAAAAGAGTTTTTATTTATGTTTCTACAGAAAATGAAAAGCTGAGGATTCCTTCCAGGCTTCTGTGATTTGATGAACCAAGACCCCGGAAGCAATGGCCCAAGTGATTCAACATCTAAAACAGCTAAGATGATGCACCCTTACAAACCCTGAAAATAAGGACTTATACAGGTTTCTGAGTTTCTGTCATGATCCCCATGGTATGAACAGCGCCCCCTTCCAGCACGAAGCAGTTTGGAATTAGCAACGTCCTAATTCCCATCTTGTTTATAAATCTTTGTTTTCATTTAAATGGGATTGTTTATAATTAGCTAGTGATCACAGCCAATCTCTTTTTAATGGTAAAAAGGGGAATTATGACATGGGTATGGTTTTTTATTTATTGATACAAATTCAAGGTCAATTTTGTGATGCGTATATTTCTCCTCTTGATTAGGTATTGTGCTTATACTGATCTTTTTAAAAATAATGCATAATTAAATACAGACTATAGATAGTTACTTATAATAATCAAAACTTATAGTTAGGTAAGTTAGATTTTCTGGATATACAGAGATATATTTGAGATAGATAGACAGTCTTCAAACCTTTCAAAGACCTTCAGAAAATGGCATTTAAAATGGTTTAGGGTTTTTCTTGACAATGAGAAATGTCTGCTCCTGGCAGCACCAATTACGTCTGAGAGGAAGATGGGCATCGAAGAAACTCATTATGGAGTTTGCTTTCAATGTGGCAAGATGAGCCATTTGGGCAAGAAACTGCTTTTGCCTGGACTGCTTGACTGTTGTTGTATAATCTGGACGTGCAGGACCCACAGAAAAGTGACTGCTGAACTCAGTCTTACAGGGTTCCTGCTTCATGAAAGAGTCTATGAGACTTTCT